TTCTATCCACTACCTATCCTACTTAGCCCTCAAGAGTTAAGTTCAAGTCCTATCTTCCAGCAAGCATTGCTGGTTACACATGCATTCTGTGCCTTAACTCAGCTCAGTTCTCCAGCATATACCGCTATCAAAGCACTTGTCACATTGTAAAGCAATTAACTACTGACTTGTACAGTTCATACAACAAACTGTGAACTTACTAAAAGCAGGAAACATAGTATATTTAACTATGTATCCTCAGAGTCTGGGACATACATGGCACTCATTAGAAAGTCTATGACATTATGAATATTAAGCTCATAGTAAGAAATATTTATAGAACAAAATTTTAAAGTTAAAGACTATTTACAAAACTGTGAAAGTCCCTGAAAGCAGGAAGGAGTGTTATACAACACAAAACCTGAAACTCAGAAAGTGCAAATTTAACTGATAATATCTAGAATTTGGAGTTAATCTCATCAGTGTCAAAACAGGTAATTTCCACTTTACCTCCAAAATATTTGAAAAACCAAAAGAAAAAAAGATTTATCTTTGTAAGTTGTGAAATTAATTAATTAAAATTGTAGGATTTACAAATAGTATTTGAGGGCAAATAAAGTGCTTAAACCGTGAGCGCTCACCATGCTATAAACATTAGAAGACAGGCCAAAATACTTCATAAAAAGTCTTTCAGGTTCATTTCACATAGGGACCAATTACACTCACTTTTAAGGTCTCCTTTAATGTTTTAACTTCAAGCAGTATGTTCATTCTTTCCGATAAAAGAACCCTTACCTTTTACAGCATGAACTACTTTTTGCAATCAGTTCTGATCTTTAAAGAAGAGGAATGAGATTTATCATGTGAAATCTAATTAGTTCTTTTAAATCTTGATAATGCAAACTTCATACTTTCGGAGAAAGCACATGTTACCAACATTTCAAAAGCTAAAGAGCTCTTTGTAATTAGAATATTCTTTTCATGTGTTAGAACTTTGATTTGCAGAATTATGTACTAAAAAAGTTGGGAACCAGGGGAAAATACCAAAGAATGAAAGTTTGTTTACCTCAAAAATAATGCACTTACATATTTTAGAACATAAATCAGCTTTTCCCACTTATGTGTGTTCCTTTCAACCTGCACTGACTGCAATTACATTTCAGAACACTCTATAAAAAGTTCAAGCATTCCACAGGTCACCTTGTGACTTAGAAATTTTTCAGATTTTAAAAGTCCATGTAAACAAGAGAGCTACAAAATTACAAAATTACAAAATTTTAACTGTTATATTATCGGAGAAAAAACGTTCAGAAAGATTTATATGGCATCACTTTGACGTGGTATAACCAGTAAATAAAACAAAATTCAGAAGACAGGGATAGCAATTTTTAATAATTTAGTCTATGAAAGATTTAGCTTTAAATTATAATATGCCAATGCATAATATATAATGCATGAAGTGTAAGTCAAACAATAAGCAAAAACAGAAACTAATATTTGCAGTACTAATTTCTCAAGCACCATGTGAAAATACTTAATGTATCCTTCTGCTAAATTACAGCTAATTTCTATCTAATTTATCTACAACAAAATATTTATCAATTCCCTATTAGTCTTATTAGGAAAAGTCAAAGTGTTTATTCTATATCTAAATTTCCTCTCCTGATACTTTATAAACTAATTCAAGAACACTTCCACCTAGGCCAAAATATAAATCTCAGAACTCACTGAAGGATTTGTAGGTCAACCTGTTTGGTGGTTTTACTGTGTTGTTTTGTTTTGTTTTGTTTTTTGGTGGGGTGGGGGGGGAGGAATAGCTGGTCTTGTTTTGGTTTTTTTGGTTATAAGCACAGATTTTATGTTTTCATACATGAATAGTACATAAATGATACATGAATATAATAAACTGAATTCTAAAGATATATTCTTTCAACCTCCAAAAAATATTCATCCTTTTATCTGCAAATACAGGTTCAGGTATATTTTACATCAAAACCATAACAGTTCATTTTTATATTTAAATATCTTACTAGAAAAAATCTATAAATTGTTTAAAGAACACAAATTTACAGAAATATTAAATTACACAACAAATATTGATAATCCAGCATATTTTCAAAACAAGTATGACTGCCTGTATAACAAAGAAATTCAATTTTATTTACCTTTCCCCACATGGGTAAGGCAAGTCAAAAAATGCACCAACAGAGGGGTGCCTGGTTGGCTCAGTCACAAAAGCATGTGATTCCTGATCCTGGGTTTGTGAGTTCAAGCCCCACGCTGGGTGTAAAGATTATTAAAAAAATAAACTTAAAAAAAAAAAATATATATATATAGTATATATCAGAAGCTATTCAGGAGGCATCTTTGGGAGTATTCCACATAGAATTCCAATTTATATTTCTCTAAACATGGGACAAGCCCTGTCCCAAGTCACTAAAGAAATAGTAAAACTTAAAAGGCATAATTCCAGCAAATATAACACAAGAATGTGTAATTTTGGTGTTCCTTTTGAAAAGTGAAATGTTTCAAATTTCTGACACAAAGTTCACAAATTGTATGAGTCTGGCTACAATTATCACAACACAGCTCTAATCAACTTTCTGAATATCATTTTAAAACTTTTAAAAAACCCAGCTGCAAGCTATTAATGTATCTCTTAATATCACTCTTTAATCCGTAACAATTTAAAACAAGAGAAAAACACTTGAAAACTGTATTAACAATGAGAGATCACTAAACAAATGCCAACCTACGATAAACGTAGTTGTTTCTTCAAAAACTAAAACACAAGATTACAGTAGTAATCTTAGAAATAGGCCAGATCCATCCCTCAAAACTAGCATTTCAAAAATAGTTTGTTAGCTTTATATATTTAAGCCATTTGAAAGTTACAAATCTTAAAGCCTTTATTTACTTGTCTAAGAGCTATTTTTCAAATGTATATTCATAATTAAGTAACAAGTTTCGTAGTGTACCTTATGTCCAAATAAATACTTAAAAGATTTATCCTATTCAGTAGAAATGCCATAGGTAGGGAAGGGTCATATACATGTTATTCCTAAAAATTCTTGTCACTGTCACACAGAAAAACATCGACATTTGGTAAACTCAAAGTATAAATGTAAGCTTACTTAATGTCACAAATTGTACCCAAGAGCTAAGTTTCTTCAAATAATGTTAACAGTTATAAGGGCTATGGCATCGAAGGATGAGGGTAGAAATTAGTACACTAATAAACTGACGTCTTTAAATAAGACAATTTGTTAATGCTGCATTCAAATACAAAAATGCTTGGATACACAAGTATGCCCTAGAATTCTGACAAACAAGAAATTTTAGATCCAGGAATCGCGCCGAGTAGATACTAGAAGCTGACATTTATGAAGTGTACAAAACTGCACAAGTGAAAGCTTAGAGATAGACTGTTGGTAGTTATCATGATGGAAGCGAATACTATACAGTACACGTCTGCAACCCAATTTTGCTTCAGCATCCCCAGAGACTTAAAAAACATTTCTTTGGGTAGGTTGCAAAACATCGCTTCCTCTTTTATTCTCATCACCCCCATTATGATACAAAGCAACAGACAAAATCAAATCACCCACCAACTGTAAGTACTGAAAGCTTAAAAACTCACACAAAAGCATCTTTCCAACTCCCGAATCGGTATTCATTCCACCTGTTTGTAAATCCATACAAACACAATAACACAAAACCTCTACTGATTTAAAAAAGGGGGGAGGGGGCAATTAATGGTTTGAAGTCATTCTTCTACCTAGGCATGGGGCGGGGGAGGGGGAAGGTACAAAACAATGGATACTGAGGGGCTGGGGAAAAACCTTTTGGCCCAGAAGCCTTCGGCGTTAAGAGCGGCGCCGCCCCCCCCCCCCCGGAGAAGAGAGGAGGAGATAAGAGTACTTTTCCTCTATCCCTAAAAGCTACGGCGGAAAGAGGTTGCCACCAGGCAAGTCCAACAGGGCGGTCTTGGATGCCTACAACTCGCCTCACCAGGCAACATACCCAAAGCCAACTCACCACTCTTCACCGAAAGAAGACGGGGAGAGAGTGGTGGGCTTTGAGTAGGGGGCGAGGAAATACCCGACCCCGCACCACCAGTGCTGCGCCAGGGCCCCCCACCAACGACTAACAGCCCCCGGACGCCCACGGGGCGCCCAAGCAGCTTGGGCCAGGTGCCCGGGGAGCAGAGTGAAGCCGGGCCGTCCACCGGGCGCCCCCGGCCCCGCGCCCTCGCGCCGGCTCGCCCTCGCCCGGGCGCTGCCCCGGCGGCCCGCCACCACCGCAGGCCCAGCCCCGGCCGCTGTCAGAGCCGACCGGCCCGGTCTCGGCACCCAGCTGCGGGGCCCCGCACAAGAGCCGGCTCCGAGGGCCCAGCCCTCCCTGCGACAGCACCCAGGAAAGCGGCGGCGGCCGCGGCGCCTCCCAGGGCCCCAGCCCCTCGGGCCTCGCCCCGGCCCCGCCGGCTCTAGCCCCTCAGGGCGCGCGGGGCCTCCCTCTACCGACAGCCACCCGACCGCCCGACGGGTAAGAAGGAAGGCAGGAAGAACCGACCGACAAACGCCCTCCCGCCTCAGCAGCCCCGGGTTACCGTCAGGAGCCCCAACTCCGCCATCCTCTTCGCTCGCCCTCCTTCCTCCTCCTCCTTAGAAGCGACGCTGCCCAACCGCCGCCCCCCGCCCGCCCCTCCCCCACTCGCCCCGCCCCGCCTGCCCCTCCACACACTCTCGCTCCTACCGCCCCGCCCCACCCCTCCGGCTCAGGCCCGTCACTCGCTGGGAGAAAAACAGGCGGGGCCAGGGCAATCGACACTACCCAATCACAGTGAGGCACTGGCGCCAACGACGCTGTCCAATCGGAGTGAGGCACTGGCGCCAGCTTCCCTCGCTCCGCCCTTTTCCTTTCCTCAGCTGCTCTAGGCCCTCTCTCCCGCCCACTGGGCGCCGCTGGCAAGCCGGGCCACAGAGTAAGCCTCCGGCTGGGTAGAGTGACAACTCGCAAACGGAAGTGACTGTTGACGCTAAGGCAGCCATAACTGCTAATGGCAAAGGGAGTTTCCTGGCCTCGCGTCTCTAGTGTGACGTAGTTTTCCCTTCGTCCAATCTCACCGTTGCCCTGGGCAACAATCGGGCGGTCTGGGAAGAGAGGCGTCTGTAAGTAGGCCCGAAAAAGGACCAAAGGTGACCAGTCATCCCAGGTTAGACAACTTAATTCATATTCGGAACCGCCTGCCCGGGTTGGGGGAGAGGAAGGAGCAGGTTTCCTGGCCCTTATTTTGCTGGGACCTCTAATCACTTACCTAGGTGGACAAAAGGTTAGGGTTCCGAAAATCCCTGTCCCGCCCGGAAGTTGCATTTGGCACTTCTGAATGGGGTCGTGGCGGAAGGGTGGGAATAGCCCTCGGCACCCCAGGGAGTGCCCATTTCCACTGGAGCCGCCAAGTGAGGTGAGGATCCGATCTGCCCTGTCCCGTGAGGACGGCCCAAGTTAGACGGCCCAAGCTAGACGTCCCGCGGGAGACGGAGAGCCGGGGAGTTGAGGGGAGCTCACAGCCGCTTCCGCTGGAGGAAGGTTTTCTTTCCGGGCTGGCCTGACGGCGGCCCGCCCTACCTCCGCCCCTCTGAGGTTCCCTGTCGGGCGAAGCCGCTCCACCATCCTCTCTAACCCAGCTGCAGCCAGCTGGGCCCGGCGGGGCCTTAGGCTCGTGCTACGGGGCGGAGCCCCTCACTCCCGCCGCTGGAGCTCCTGACCGCGCCCCCTTAGATTCCTATTGAGTACTTCCATCCCGACCTTTGGAGGACGGAGAATTGTGGAGCAATGGAAAACGTTTTCCATTGCCGGCTAGAAAGGAAAAAAGGTGGTCCTCCACCACAGCGGCCACACCTCTTAAGTCTTATTTTTCCCACCTCTTGTCTTCACATTTTGAATTTTCTTCCTTTTCTTTGTTTCTTCTCTTTTGTGGGTTTATAAGCATTAACTGTTCTGGGTAGAGGTATACCGTCCTAATCCTCCATGTCTGCATTTTATTAAACAACTTACTGCTTGTGAATATTCTTAAAAATACCGTAATACTTTTACGTGGTTCTTTCCAAAAGTTGTCACACCTTAACTCGTGTAGTTCCTTCTGTAGGCTTAAGTCAAGAACTGCCAGTCAGATTGGTAATGCTGGGTTGGATGCCTAAAGTTGCGGGGGGGGGGGGGGGGGGGGGGGGGCGGGGGGAAAAGACCAGGAGAACTTTCTCAACAAGGGTGCAGACCCACCTTCATTATTTAATCTCTTTCTACTACCTTACTACTCACGCTTTAACCAAAATGAACTACTCTGGTTTCTTCCAAGGTTAATCATTGAAGCACTAACCTTTTGTGACTGTATATTAATGTCCTAGTTACCCTTGGAGATGTTTCCAGATTCTCTCCAACAGGAAGCAACTTCCTCTGCGCTTACCTAGCACTTTCTGTACTTCTTTTAGGACAATCTCTATTTTATATAACAGCTGCTTACGTTCTTAGCTTTACTGCTGTGTTTATGTCTAAAATGGTTTTTATCAGATTCATCTGCCTATCATATTATCCTGCACATGATATTATTTTGGTAAGTACTTCCTAAAAGATTGAATATTTTTGGTGTCCTGGGGACCTAAGACACTGCCAGCTTTAGTTTATCAAATTCAGTGTGGTTCCTGTTACTCAACCTTTTCCTAGTCTTCCCCTCTGAATTCCTTCCAACATGATTTCTTCCCTCGAAAAACAGAAATCATACATTAAAAAGTTGAAGGAAATACAATAAATATTCATATACCCTTTACCTAGATCCAACAGTTGTTAAATTCTGCTATATTTATTTCATTCCTTCTCACACTTTTTTCATTGTTGTTGAACTATTTGGAAATAGGTTACCGACCTATTGTTAAGCAGGCACCTCTAAAATTTCCAAAATGTATTTCCCTAAGGATTATAAAGTTCTGCAAAACACAGTATCATTATCACAACAAAGGAAATTGTTCTGTAATATTTAAAATCTAGTCTGTATGTACATTGTCCCATTTGACCTAAGAATATTTTGTATATCTCTACCCCTGCTCCTCCAACAAAATTTAGAATCCAGTCAAGGTTTATGTATTGTGCTTGGGTATTGTAACTTTTAGCCTTAATTGAGAACAACTCCCCTATCTTTTTTTCTCCTGTGATGTTGGCATTTTATTTATCTATTTTTTTTAACGTTTATTCACCTTTGAGACAGAGACAAAGCGTGAATAGGGGAGGAGCAGAGAGAGAGGGAGACACAGAATGTGAAACAGGCTCAGGATCTGAGCTGTCAGCACAGAGCCCAACGTGGGGCTCGAACTCACGGACCGTGAGATCATGCCCTGAGCCAAGTCGGACGCTTAACCAACAGAGCCACCCAGGCGCCCCAACGTTGGCATTTTAAAGAGTCCAGAGCAGAGGTCTTCTTGAATGTCTCCTTTTTTCTTATTTCTTGTAAATCAGAAACTGATCTAGAGGCTTGATTAGATTCCATTTAACATTTTTTCCCCAGAATACTTCACAGTATTCATACTTCTCCAATCATGATTAATGATTAAGTCTTCTCAAATGTGACTACATCTACCAGTGGCATGAGTGGCTAGTTAAATGCATCCCACTTCTCTGCACACACACCCTGCTATGCTGTCCTACAAAGAAGAAATTAGCATTCAATCCTCCTGTCTGTAGAGAGGAAGTGCTAGTGTCCTCGGCTGTCGACCTTTAGTAAAGTATTGCTGCTACCTTGCCTACACTTGTAGCTGATGCAACATAACCTGCAACAGTGTACTGATGTCAGCATAGTTTCATGAGTTTCAACTCCTGGCACCCTGAGGACTGTTGATGAAAGATGTGTGGGCCCTGCAATTGAAATACAGATGAATCTTGATGTTATCAAAGCAGATACCAAGGCAACTGCTGGCCATCTGGTATTTTGTGTGAGTGGGATGTGTCATTTTCTATTAACTCAATAGTAGTGTCTGCTAGTGAAGTATACCATCATCCAAGTTCATCCAAGAAGAACAGTTCCTGTTCTTAGGCCTAGGCACATTTCAGAAGCTAAACACTGCACATTTCATTCACATGAGTCTAAATTAATTAGCCAAATTGAACATGTTGCAACATTTTCCTACCAGCAGATGCCAGATAGCAAACACAGTAGAACTATTATAGTTTCCAAATACGTGACATATGATGTTATTTGGCATCTCCAGATGAACATTATCAATCCAAACTAAGCACTCTGCTAGTATGTGGGCAGCCCTCGAGTGAGAATGAGCATTACTACTTTGTGTCTGCTAAAAAGAAAACACTTATTTTGGGGCTCCCTCTTTCACCTTCATGTTAGTTTACATTCAGAAATCTAACATGCATTTGAAAATTCATCTGTTAGTCGATCATAAGTCTTGAATAAAACAAATAAAATCTTTCATATTTTTCCTGCAATTCCTGCCACTCCATCCACAACCTGTACTAGGCAGATTGAATTTACTTAAAAAGATCTAAACTAATAAATATTCACCAAACAATATCCTCTATTGTCCTTTACAGAAACAAATTGCTTCTGGTACCTCCCTCAGTTCTCTAAGATTGTATCTTGTTTCTTAATACCTATTAATGGTAAAATAGGACAATTTGGAATATAATGTGTTATAGTGGTTCTTGTGTATTCTATTGAAGTTGTGACATCGAGTGCCTATAGCAATGAGGATGGTAAGGGAAAGGGAACAATAGGCAGAAGTGGGGGACTAGACAAGTCTCCACATTCATCTGGGACATTACTTTCCAGCCCTAGCCAAATTTTGCCATGTGGGAAGTGTTGCCAGATTTGCCAAGAGGAGCTGAAATTTGGACTTTATGTGAAGATCTTGTGATTTTTAAACATAGTTTCAAATACTTTTTAAATATTTAGCAAGCCAGCAAAACATTTAACCAGATAGGACCAAGGGCCACCAGTTGGTGACCTATGTTTCTTATATGAAAACAGGATTGGCAGTTAGGCCAGAATCTGAAAATACTTTAGAAATGTTTTTCTAAACATATTTCAGTTACATTTATTTTCTTAGGTTAGGCAACTTCCATTTGTCACTTCCATCAAAAATTCAAGATAGAGTCTTATGTACACCGGGCTTCTATTCCCTATAATTTTAAAGGTTTTTACTCTTTGCCACCAACTTAAAAACTTGCCCACATTTGCTCAACCTTGAATTATAGTATGAAATAGAGTTGCTTTATCATATTTTTTATTATGTTCTAATGTTTATTTCGACAAGAAAACGAGTGGGGGACGGGAGGGAGAGAGAGATAGAGAGAGAGAGAGAGAGAGAGAGAGAGAGAGAGAGAGAGAGAATCTTAAGCAGGCTCCACACTCAGCATGGAGCCTGACGTGGGGCTTAGTCTCAAAACTGTGAGACTGTGACCCAAGCCAAAATCAAGGGTCGGACGCTTAACCCACTGAGCCACCCAGGCGCCCCCAAAAGGTTCTTATCCACTGTAGCTCCTTCATTTAGCTGTGACTGGCATTATAGACATTGGTATGTTTGTTGAAAGGAAAATGTGTTTGGATAGGAACATATGATCCCAAATTCCTCTTTTGTTACATTTGTTTTTCATTCTGAAAGAGTAAATTCCCTTGTCCCGAAAAGAGCATCCTTTCTACTCCAGTCTTCACTGTCCAGTGTTTACTTTTAAAGTTCTGTCCTTATTAATAGATATACAGCCATTAACTTTATTTTTTATCTTCAGTAATTATTTTGTCCATGTATAACTTATTTTGATCAATTTTTCACTAGTAATGGTAATAACTCAATCCAGAATATTTTAGTTTTTCATTTGTAAACATTTTTGTAGAGAAATATGGTAGGATAATCAATCATTAAAATATGGTTAAGCATGAAAATATATTACAGTAAAATTAAGTGGAATGGTAATAGAGGTCTAGGGAGAAAAAGGATGTAAACTTTCTGACTTAAAAGTAAGTTCTTCATTCTTTTTACTAATAGAGGATAATAGCTGTCAAGTTTTTATGATATTGAGATTACGTTGGATATATTTTTAAAAGACTGATATGGAGCACCTGGGTTGCTCAGTTGGTTAAGCGTCCAACTCTTGGTTTCAGCTCAGGTCATGATGTCTTGATTTGTGAGTTTGAGCCCTGCTTGGGATTCTCTCTCCCCCACTCTGCCCCTTCCCCACGTGCTCTCTCTCTCTCTCTCTCTCTCAAAATAAATAAACTTCAAAAAATGAAACGAAAAAATAAAAGACTGATATAAGTTATTTTTAAATATGCTGGAAATTATGTCTTTAGAACTATTTGAACTTAATAAATTTGTCAATTTAGAAATGTGTAAAGGGGTATTTAGTTTTTCTACCTAGTTTTTAAAAATCTGAGGGCACCTGGGTGGCTTAGTTAGCAAATCATCCAACTCTTGATTTCCACTCAGTCATGATCTCACGGTTGGTGAGTTCAAGCCCCTTGGTGGGCTCTGCCCTGATGGCGGAGTGCCTGCTGGGATTCTCTCTCTCTTCCTCTCTTCCCCTCCCGTCTGTGTGCTTTCTCTCTCTCTCTCTCTCTCTCTCTCTCTAATATATAAACTATAAATAAATAAACTATAAATGAATGAATAAGTGGAATAAAAATCTCTGTGTGTTAATGCAAGCATAAAATTTGAGGACCACTTACATATATTCTCTGGGTTCAGGACATTTTAGTGCTCTTGTCCAGTCCCATACACAGTTTAGTTCAAGTATCAAATTAACTCACCCCAGAAATTTTTAACTTGTCCAAGTTGTAAAATTAACTTATATTATCAACATGTGTATGATTGATATAAAGTAGTAATCCTTCCTAGACTTAAGTGCCTTTCAACTCCGCCTACAGCTTTGTAAAATATTTCATGACAGATTTGGTTTCCCTCCAAGTTCTTCTGCATTAATTTTAGGCATCCAGCTCAATGGCTACGACAGGTTTGCTTACTTTGTTATGACTTTGAAATGTACTATCCATCAAAACCATTATCTCTGGGACAAATTACAAACTAAAGAAACTACGGGGGGAAAGGAAGTAGATTATTTTCCAATTACCCAGACCAAGAGCTTCAAAAAATTATTGACATTCTATTCTCCAAGCATTAAAAGTTTGGGTTACATTAGTGTAAGAATTTTACTTCTGCAATTGAATGTGTTTTCTCTTAAAATATACCTTGACAAATGTATCATTTTAAAATCTGGCATAGTAGTCCATTGTATGGCTGTTACAGAATTTATTTAACCTTTGATATATTGCTGAATATTTAGATTCACCTATTGCTGAACATTTTGCTCTTCAATGCAGTGCTTTAATGAACATTCTTATTCTTATGTCTTTATACACCGGTGCATTATTCCTTTAGGGCCCATTCTAGAATGCTTGGGTCAAAGAAAATGTGCATATTTAGCTTCAGTAGATAATACAAAATATTAATAGATACTACAAAATATCTAAAAAATCTGTACCAAGAAACCCACCCACCAACAGAGAATGCCCATTTCTCTCTACCTTCTCTAACTCTGGATACTGTCAGCTTTAGATTATTTTTGCAATTTCAAAAGATCTAACACACACACCAAAATGTCACATGATTTTCACTTGCTTCATGAATCCATGATCATTTTCCTACTTCAACTACAGTACCCACTTCAGCACTCCTACATCCCATTAAACTTTATTTTCTATAGCACTTACTACCTTATAGCATCCTATTATTTACTTACTCTAGAGTGTAAGCTCCAAAAGGTTTGAGGTTTTGTCTGTTTTGTTCACTAAAGAATAGTGCTTTGCACGTTATAGACACATATTTATTGAATTGAATTACATGGCACTTGTATGATACATGAATTTCTGTCATAGCTGATATGTTTCTTCTTTGACCCATTTGTCCCTAGTGGTACACACATCTTACCTCATCATAATAAGAAAGTACCTTTAGAAGCAACCACAACTCCTTAGGGCACATTACACCAGACAAAACACCCATGTTTGGCCATTAGCAGGTGAAGGAAAGAAATGTTCCTTCCTACTGTGGACTCCCTGGGCAGTTGATGATATCAAGACACTGTAGTCTTGCCAGTGAGGGTCATCCAACCACCACCTTGCTTATTTTAGCCCTTCCCTTCCTGTTTCTCTCCTGCCAGTGCCTGGGGAGTGGGGGGGGGGGGGGCGCCTAGAACAATAGCCAACCCTAGTAAAGCCAACACTCCACCCAGGCAAGTGACTGCCAGCACTGATATTCCCCACACCAGACCCAACCCACTCCCTACCAGGCTTTTGGCCCCACACCCTTTGCAGTAACAATGGCAGCTTAGTGAAACAGAACTAAGGTTTAGTAGAGCACCAAGTTTCATTGTTATCCTCCAGCCAGATTTTGGATGTGAAAGAGGGACAGACTAGAGAGAGCAAAGGATTGTGATTGAGTTCTGAGTAGCTGAAGTTGCTACTCTATAAAACATTGAAGATTTAAGTATTCATCCACTGTTTTGCTGATAAAAAAATTGGTGATACAAAACTCTTGGCTACTGTTATTTCTTTTCACATTTATCAACATCTATAATGTTTATCCTCCCTTTTGGCAGCATATCATGTCAGATTTGCAACAAATCAGGGCTTACTCAACATGTTCATTGTGATATTTTAGTGGAGAGGCTGTTTATTATAGCTTATAGTTCATATTCAGGCTAATCAGGGATCTGCAATGCTATTAGCTTTCAACATAACCAGGGGAAAAAAGGGAAATGATCACTAGATACCACAGCAGGCCTAACAAGAAAAGAATATGGCTGAAGAAGTTGTGCATTCTAAGGAAATTGCATATTACATTTATCTCATTCCATTTAATGAGGAGTTGCTACTTCATTCCTGGTCCATTCCCTATTTCATCTTCACTCCCAAACAGAGCAGTGTAGGGGTTAAACTTTGATGACAAAGTTCTGGAAAATGTATAGAGGTTCCTTAGGAACTTTAGATGTTCCAGAATGGGAATTTGAATGAGAAAGGAGAGGCTTGGATGGAATAGGAAGCTTTCTTTACAAATGTCAAAGTTAGTAGTAGAGTGGGAATAACAGACCAGAAGCAACTTCACTTGACTATAACTAATTTGCAGTGGGCGGTAAAGGCAGGCACCACGCCAGCATCACCACTTTATAAATAATAAATCTTTCTTCTGTGGTAATGTTGTGAAAGGCACATGGTAAGGTTGCATCAGTATGGTGAAATATCACAAAATGGGTGGGTCTGTCTAGAGAAGCATCTGTGTTTGTAAAAGGATCATGCTACAAATTACAATCCGGAACACCTTGAATATACAGCGTAGCAGTAATCTGGAATCTAACACTGGAAACAAATGCCATCAGCCAGAGATGGCATATATGCTGGTATGTTCTTAACAAAATACTCAAGATAAAGGTATTTGCTGGCACTTTAGCATGTAGTATCTCTGTATTAAAGGAAAGTAGTAAACTGAAAGCATACCTCACTTCTGTTCTTCAAGAGCCAGTTTCACCCGTTTGTGTTGCCTCCTTACAAACAGGACCGGTATAGCCAATAACTGTTCCTTAGGATGCTTTTTGTCATGATAGCAAAGGGATTAAAGTAGAAGCCAGCTGTTAGCTGTTGAGAAGTGGGAACATTAGGAAATATTTACCTACTACCTCCTCTTTTTCCTAACTACCTGCCTTACCCCACTTCCCAAATGGTAACATTTTTTTACCCCATCCACCTTCAGGGAGATGCTATCAGTGAACCAAATGGCTGCACAAAAATGCTTTTGGTTTTCCTCAGCTGGCCTCTATTAGGTAGTTATGCCAAATAAATGAAGCCCTACCAATTTTTCACTACAAGGGAAAAAAACATAGAACGTGTAGCCTTCCAAATTAACACCTCCACTGATTAAAGAACATTGACACACTCCAGATCCTTACATTAACTCTTTCAATCTTGTTTCAATGAAAAGACTCCTAGGAAATTAATAGGAAAATTATGCAAGGGCAGGGTAGTTCATTTTCTGTAGGAATTATGATTTTACTTCTTAAAGTATAATGGAAATATCTCAAGCAATATGCTTTGGAAATTCATTCTTGAATGTTAACAATTGATTTCTCATTGAAGGAAAAAACTTAGCTGTATCCAACAATTCAGATATGGCGGAAGTGAAGTCAATGTTCCGGGAAGTTCTTCCAAAACAAGGTATCTAAATTACAAATACTTAGGTCACAGAATATTACAGGTACCTAAAAAGTGGGAGGCACATAGGCTAAGTAGCTAAACATCTGTAACTATTTTGTGTCTTGTATGCCACATTTACCATCCACTCTTTTACAAGTATAAAGAACTCATCCACTGCTTTTCCCCCCCGCCCCAGTAAAAGGATAACAAATGAAGCATTGTTCAACCTAGGAATCCTGTTATACTCAAATTTGCAAATTACAATATGAAATTTTCAATGAAAAAACTAGTACTGTAATTCACCATAATGTTAAATATGGTCTGGAAATGGGGAAAAAGAAACCTAAGTCAAGCAATCATTAAGAAAAGCTGACAGTTTAACATTCAGTAGTTAATATAGTAAAAGAATGGTATTAACATGAATATTAAGTATTGTTATGCACTATGTATTTCTCCTGAATCTTTTTGCACATTAAACATTTGACACAAAATGAGTCGTGTGTCTCATAGGTAGCTTGGAATTTTAGGTACCAAGTTCAAAAAGGCGTCCTTGTGAACTCCCTAGTATTAAATGTTGATATATTTGAAGTAACTGTGAAAACAAAAGATTTTCATTGATAGTGGATTAAGTCTTTAGACTTTCATTCTAGCTGCAAATCCAAACTACCAATCAACTGGGTCATCTCACTCAAATTGTTTCTTTTTAAACTTAGGGCAGCTGTCTGTGGAAGATATAACCACAATGGTGCTGTGTAAACCCAAACTTTTACCCTTAAAATCTCTGACTCTGGAAAAACTGGAGAAAATGCAGCAAGCAGCCCAGGATACAATTCGCCAACAAGAAATGGCAGAAAAGGAACAACAGCAAATAACTCACTGAATGATAATTTAGCACTTCTACAGAATACCCTTAGTATTAACAATAGCTAGAAAATAATTTGCACCTGTATGCTGAGAACAGTGTGTGTTAATAAAACTGATAGTGCTTATACATAATATAAAAATACCCAAGACTAATGAAACTTGTATTGTGAATTTAGACACTTTGGTTTGTATTGAACATAAGCAATTAAAAAAACTTTGAACCCAAATTTTATTGGGTTTTTTTTTTTTTTTACCCAAGTTTTTAGAACTGTAAATTATTGTTCACCATTCCTATCAGTCTTACGGGTAAAATTCTTAGGCACAAGTGACTAAATGCAACTCTTATGTTCACAAAATCTTTACATGTTTATTAAAAACTGAATTTAACGATACATTCTAATCTTGTACAAAGCGTTTTGGGGCTTTTACATTACCTAACTTTAAAACTCTTTTACAAATTTTGTGTTTCATGTTTAAGGCTATTTTGCCTAACCAACTGATTCTACCAATAATGACAAAACTAAATAAATTTGAAACCCTCACTTATCCAGTAGTCCCCTGAGCTTTTTGTTTTCATAAAACGTTTTGAAGTTTATTTGTTTTAAGAGAGAATGTGCGAAAGGGGAGGAGCAGAGAGGGAGAGAGAGAATCCCAAGCAGGCTCTGCACTGCACTGCACTGCACTGTCAGCATGCAGCCTGACACAGGGCTCAAACTCACGAACCACATGAAGAGTGTTACCTGAGCAGAAATCGAGTCAGACACTTAACAGTGAGCCACCTAGGTGCCCCAGTCCCGAGTTTTTAACTATACTGACTTTAAGGACTAAGAATTACCTGGCTACCTTTACCATCCAGGTATCAAACACACAATTAAAACTACAGACTTGAAAGAGCCCATGGGATAAATATCAACATTTAAATTTGGAGTTTTAATTCTTTTTTTATTTTTTATTTATTTAAAAAAAAAATTTTTTTTTTAACGTTTATTTATTTTTGAGACAGAGACAGAGCATGAACGGGGGAGGGGCAGAGAGAGAGGGAGACACAGAATCGGAAGCAGGCTCCAGGCCCTGAGCCATCAGCCCAGAGCCCGACGCGGGGCTCGAACTCACAGACCGTGAGATCGTGACCTGAGCCGAAGTCGGACGCTCAACCGACTGAGCCACCCGGGCGCCCCTGGAGTTTTAATTCTAAAAGGTTTACTTCTAAACCTGCAATGGGCATATTCCTAATACCTTTATAAATTCTGAATATAATTCTTGGCTGGTTGCTACAATCAATAATAGACCATTTAAATTACCATGGACCTTGAGGCCTTGCTGAGTAATCAGGCTCTACAAAAGAGGTTAGAAATGTAATCGTTCTTTAGATAACTGCTATTTATTGGTAGCTACTATTTTCTCAAACACTGGATAAATGTAAAACTTTTTGAGTCACTGAAGAATTTTTTATAACACAAACATTAGCTGGTAACAGAATTTAAGAATGATGAAATTTTAGAAATTTCATTGAGCTTTAGATAAGATCAGAAAATAAGTATGCGTGCATTTCCCACATATAATATTAAAAGAATTTATTTACGATTGTACTTTTGATTTAAAATTTTTTTTAATGTTTATTTTTTGAGAGAGCGTGAGCAGGGGAGGAGCAAAGAGAGAGGGAGACACAGAATCTGAAGCAGGCTCCAGGCTCTGAACTATCAGCACAGAGCCTGATGTGGGGCTCAAACCCACAAACCAGAAGATCATGACCTGAGCCACAGTTGGATGCTTAACAGACTGAGCCACCCAGGTGCCCCAAGTACTTTTCATTTAAAAGTTTGCAAAGAACAAAGTTTAAATTCACTAGGTTCAAATATGCTCCCTTAGAGGATTTAAAATTTGCTGTGTAAAATAAAAGTTTTTAAAAAGACCTAAAATAAATGTACTCCCAATGAAGAATCAACACTGCTTCACATGTTTTATTTTGTCATACATTCTTTTAGAACCAGGTTCATTTTTCCAGTTTTGTAGAAAAATAGATGTTCCAGCCACCATTTATTTAACTGTCTAGTCTTTGAGACCAATCAATATGTTCCCTGGAAAAATGAATAAGTCTTATGACTAACTCATTTTCTTAAAATTCTTTAAGACAAAGAAATAACTTTTTTTTTTTTTTTTTTTACTCCCAAAGCACAGTATTCCAACAGCAGCAGCCAACATGGGGTTTTAGCAGCTTAACTTCACCCCCTAAATAAAGCTTTGTATAAACCAGTGATTTTACTACAAAAACACTGTCCTTGAAAGAAAGGAGTGGCAGTCAGACATCAATGCAAAACTTGGAATGATTAGGTCATAAACATGGCACTTACAAAGGTAGCTTATGAGAATATTCCACTTAAGAAGTGGTTACTCTTCTGTCCCTCCTTTACACCCTCAAAAAAACAAAAATACGAAAGAATGAAAAAAGAAAACACTTCCTTTAAAAATTCCCCTTAAATTGTAACTTTATAAAATTTCAGAAATGCCTTGTACCCAAAACAAGTGCTTCAAAAACAAAACAAAACAAAAAACCTGTGCTAACAACTCTTACAATTCAGATATATTTATATATTTTAGAACATCTAAGACTGTAAGAGTTCTTATATTCAGTAGCTCTCTGGTTTAAGGCGACCTCCATCTCCTTCACTTACAAAACGTTTTCTGCCCCTGTAATGAAAAGAACACAAACATGAAAATGGAGATCAATTCTATCTATAAACAAACAAACAAAAATCTTGGGTTCTTTTGGTTAGTCATTAGGTTTTGAAGGGTTCTGTTTAAAAAAAAAAAAGTGAGCATGCCTCTGATCCTTTTGAAAAAAGACTCTTTTCTTGCTATGTATCCTAGGAGGTAGCAAATCAAATGAACTGTTAATGTTAATCCAAGCAGTTTTTAGTTAAATAAGAGCTTAATTATTGAATAAGTTCATTGTCAAATGGAGTCATGTAAAAGAAAAGTTAAAATATAAGGCAAACATGCTTTTTGGAACTTCAATATTTACTTCTCTGAGTATTATCTGAAAGCTAAACAGTGAGACAAAGAGACACCAACATGATTTGGAATTATGCAAATTAAAGCTACAGAACCTATGAAAATATCCACGTTAAAAATTTTGTTTTAACTTTTTCTCAAATCTAGAAAAGCCGTAACCTGAACATGGAAAAATCAGAATCCAATTAATTCCTGTCTATGCCCCATTTTGGGATTCCTGCTATTTCTTTTTTTTTTTTTTTTTTTAATGTTTATTTATTTATTTCGAGAGAGAAAGAGAATCCCAAGCACTGGATTCATGCTATCAGCACACAGCCCAACATGGGGCTCAATCTCACAAACGGTGTGGTGTGATCAGGACCTGAGCAAAACTCAAGAGTTAGACGCTTCACTGACTGAGCCACCCAGGTGCCCCGGGATTCCTGCTATTTCAAAATCAAGAGGTCTTGCTTTATAATGTAAGCACACTTATGCTGTATGTAGCCAAACACAGTAGCTATGTACAGCCCAGGAGAAATATTTGACCAGCAGCCTAAAGCAGTAAGTGGAAAACAGAATTGTCCAGGATTAGTCCTCATTTTCTGACCCTAGACCAACATGCACAAGCATTCAACACCACACACAAGTGTGCACTTCACCCAAATAGGCTAATGGATAGAGGATAAAAAAAAAAGTCAAGGTTCTATAGCATACAGTGAAAATTTAGGTATCTCCCTCAACTGATCCTTGAGGGTAAAGCCACAATAAAAATGACCATTTAGACTTCTGAACAGAGGATGAAAAACTTAAAAAGCCAGTGCCAAGGTGTTGACCCCTTTTCACACGAAGTCTAAGTGGAAATCAGCTACTTTTTCTGGCATATACAGGCTTCAGACTGTAAATATAAGGAGACTGAGATGCAGAACAAAGCAGTAAGTAGCAAGAACCCTTGCCAACATTGGCAGTATTTACTGATGTATACAACTTGGCACATAAATGATGCCATCACCAAGCACAGAGAGAGATTTTGGAGATGGATATTTGCAAACATTTTTATCAAATCCATTAAACAGTATCTTCCTCCTCTTCTCTCAAAAGCTTCTAAACTTTCTAGAGCAACAGACACTACCAAGAACTATTTTTCTGAGATTTAATTCTCACAATGCACTTAAAATAGACAAAGCTTTGCAATTTTTTCAGTTTAAAAATTACAAAAAGTTAAAATTTACATAAAACAGACACACACAGGCCACCCAGGTAGCCTCAGGTCAGGATCTCATGGTTTGTGAGGTCATGCCCCGTGTCGGGCTGTGTGCTGACTACATAGAACCTGCCTGGGATTCTCCGTCTCCCTCTCTCTCTATTCCTCCCCTGCTCTCTGTCTCAAAAATAAACAACATTAAAAAAAAACAAAACAGATATACACAAGTTTAGCTATTACTAACATTTATACCTATTTATTATAAACTTACATTATAAGCTTTATTTTAACCACAAAAAAATTCATCAACTCCTAAAGAGTTAGATCCTAGTAGCACAAATACAGTATCTCCAAAGAATCACACACATATACTTTCTAATGAGATAAGACCCAATTAGCCTCAATTCTCCATTCTATGAAGGAATAAAAGGAAGCTACATGGAGTAAAGAATAGCCTATATCTTGGAAGCCAGAAAAGGTCTGGATTCATCCTTACCCTCTACTGTGTGTGAACTTAGAAAATTTCAATTACATCTCCTTAAACCTTAATTTTCTCATCTCATTGGTGATAATATCTACTCTGAAATATTTCAACTACTTAGAACAGAGCCTGGTACACAGAACTACTACACAAAATTAGTTTCCTTCCAGTGAAAAGGGGCTTCATGAAGTAGCCCTGTATAAATTTTACAAGGGGGTAAAATAAGCTTTGCCCTAGTTTTTCTATTAACTCAAAACTCATGATTTTCACTCTTGAGTGGCTTCAGGGGAGATACTACTTTTCTGACAGAATTCCAGAATTTTTCTGGAATGACAGAAAATCAGCTTAGCCTTTCCAAGCACCTCAGCCAATATTTTATGCGGAAAAAAGTAATAAAATACCTTGAAGGACAAAGATCTCTGAGTTGTTTGGAAATTATTCCAGCCTGAAAACATTCTTCTACAAATCGTTCAAGCACAGAGTATGAATGTGGGACATCCAAATTAATGTCTGGAATTTCATTGTAAATTCTCTCATAACCCTAAAACAATGAAATTATATACAGAATTGTTAGCCCATATAAAGTACATAATGCCATATGACCCATCACTGTCATCAAACGACATTTAAAGACCAAACATTCGTAAAATTAGACTGAAGTCAGATCTGATCTTTGAAAAGTATAGACAATATTTGTCATAGAATGTTTTCTTTAAAATTTTTCTCTTAAAAGAGTTCAGGCGGACATCAGACACTGGACACATTTCTTCATCTGTATACATTTAGTACGCTTTTTAAAATATAAGGCAAGTAAGCACCTCACCAATATCTTAAATAGGAATAAATTAAATACTTTAAAGAATATTTGTTAAA